TCTTTCCTCATACATTAGTCTTTCCAAGCATAATTGGCAACAGCAGTAAATATAGTTGTCGTATCACCATTAATTACAACACAAATGTAACAAAGGCAACAGTAAAAATATTGGGTTTCTGTCTGGATGGTCTCTTGTGATGAGCCGATAGACAGAGAAAGGAAGCAGTAGGCATATTTGGGCATACCAGGAGTTGTGACACTAAATACATACATGCATACATACATACATACATACATACATACGTATGGGTGTAGATGTGCGTGTGTACGTATGCCTGTATGTATGTAGGATGTGTACACGTGTGTTATGTATGTGTATGGGTGGATATATACTTCCTTTCTTTTGACAGCAGGCAACAAAATTTAATTTTCAACCTGGACCAGTGTGATCACAGTAAAAAGATTACTTGGGACCCTTTGATCCCACGTGATCAAAATTCAGACGCTTGGGAGCCGGTTCATACTTACGACTTAATGCGACCCACTTTGGCGGCCTTCGGACAAGCAAAGTCAAGCGGGGCGGAGGGATCAACCTGATTCCACTCACTTAACAACTGCAGGGATTCACTTAGCAACCTAAATGGCAAGAAACGGGGCAAAGCTCGCTTAACCGATGTCTCGCTTAGCAACAGGGATTCGGGGCTCTGTCGAGGACTACCTGTGCTAGCAAGAACGCCCACATTCTGCCCGCCAGCTGTGTTGGTAACGTTTGCTCCAGCCTTTAGAAAGCATAATTAAGAGAGACACTCCCCTTGTTTTTTTTCTCAGCTAAACATCCAAGACGTACACCTGAGATTTGAGGATGGGGTCTCCAATCCATCCCAGCCCTTTGCCTTCGGCATCTGCATCAAAAACGTATCCATGCAAAATGCCACGGATGAGCCGGTGAGTATGCATTGATCCCGGGTAAGCCCATCAAACAGTTGTGATATGACAACCTTGCCTTTCCTTTCCACCCCATATAAGTCTCGGTGCATATAGCCTCAGCATATGCCAGGAGTTGTCCTTAGTGATTCAGTCTGTACGGTTTTAGCTCTGATACCCCTACAAAAGATGATTTGAACACAAATTAGCAATAGCGGTTAGCAGTAGCCCTTAGGCTTATATACCGCTTCATGGGGCTTCACAGCCTTCTCTTAAGTGGTTTACAGAAATTAAAATAGAATAGAAATTAAAACAGAATAGAAATTAAAATAGAATAGAAATTAAAATAGAATAGAAATTAGAATAAAATAGATCAGAATTTGAACAGAACATAATGCAGAAAAATATAGAATAGAGATTAAAATAGAATAGAAAGAATAAAACAGAAAATAGAATAGAATTTGAACAGAACAGAATGCAGAAAANCTTCCTCCCATATTTGGGCATACCATGTATGTATGTGTATATATATATGTGTGTGTGTGTGTGTGTGTGTGTATTTATTTATCAGCACAAATATAACACACATATATATATATGTACATATATATATATGTGTGTGTGTGTGTGTGTGTGTGTGTGTGTACACGCGCACACACAAACACCAGCATAATAGGATAAAAAACAAAATAATAAAAAAATCCTCAAATGGAATGTATCCTTTACAGTAGAAATCACAGCGACTAGAACAGAACAGAATAAATAAGACAGAGCTGGAAGGGACCTTGGAGGTCTTCTAGTCCAGCCCGCTGGTAAGGCAGGAAATAGACCAATTCTCCCCCATCAACGGTTGAACTTTACTTAAGAAAAAAAAACAGACAATTTTGGTTTGTCGTTGCTGTTGCTAAGACTGGGGAGTTCTGGGAGTTGAAGGCCACCCATCTTTCCAGTCGCTGGGGTTGAGAAACGCTGCCACCCACACGTGCAAACACAGAGCTGAGTGTGAGGAAGCACACTTTTAACCGGGTTTCTCTCCGGACCTCTGTTTCACAGACAACTAGCCCGTCTTTGCTTCCGCGCCGCCTTCTCTGAACCATGGAAGGAGGAACGTGGGGATGACGGCCTGAGCCGCCTCTTCTCCTTGGGGCTTAGCCATGTTGGAAGGGCTGATCGCGTGGGTCCTCAACACTTACCTGGGCAAATACGTCAGCAACCTGAACACAGACCAGCTCTCGGTCGCTCTCCTCAAAGGTAAGGGCCACCTGAGAGATCTGGGCCAAATCTTGCCGCCTGGACTTTCTTTCTGGCGATCAAGAACCTTATAGCTCTCCGGCTAAACAAAAACACACCGTTGTGCGACTTGTGGCAAGCCATTAGCTTGTCTCTTTCCCTTATCTAGATTATTCTGTGATATCTTCAAAAGGAAAGTTTTGTCTTAAGTTTTTCTTTCGGTTTTTCCTTCAGGGGCCGTTGAGTTGGAGAACTTGCCACTCAAGAAGGATGCCTTGAAGGAAGTGTTGCCATTCGAAGTGAAAGCTGGTAGGTATTTGGGAGAAGGGGAGTGTGGAGGAGAGAAAGAGAGAGAGAGGAAAAGAAACTGAGAGAAAGAGAGGAGAGGAAGAAAGAGGAGATGAGAAAGAAGGGGAGAGAAAGAAAGAGGGAAAGATTGGTGGAAGGAAGAAAGGAGAGAAAAAGAAATATTGAAAGAAAGAGAGACAGGAGAGGGAAAGAGGAGAAAAAGAGAAAGACAGGGAAGGTAAGAGAGAGCGAAAGAGGAGAGAAAGAAATTGGGAGAAAAAGAAAGAAAGAAAGAGAGAGAGAGAGAGGAGAGAAAGAAAGATGAGAAAGGGGGGAGAGAAAGAGAAAGAAGAGGGAAAGATGGGTGGAGGGAAGAAAGGAGATTAAGAAAGAGAAAAATTGAAAGAAAGGAAAGGGAAAAAGAGGGAAAGAGGAGAAAAAGAGAAAGACAGGGAAGGTAAGAGAGAGCGAAAGAGGAGAGAAAGAAATTGGAAGAAAGAAAGGGGAGAGAGGAGAGAGAAAGGAGATGAGAAAGGGGGAGAGAAAGAAAGAAGAGAAAGAAGAGGGAAAGATGGGTGGAGGGAAAAAAGGAGAGAAAGAAAGAAAAATTGAAAGAAAGAAAGGAAAGAGAAAAAGAGGGAAAGAGGAGAAAAAGAGAAAGGGAAGATAAGAGAGAGGTGGAGGAGAGGAAGAGGAGAGAAAGAAATTGGGAGAAAGAAAGAGAGGAGAGAAAGGAGATGAGAAAGCGGGAGAGAAAGAGAAAAGAGAGAGGGAAAGATGGGTGGAGGGAAGAAAGAGAAAGAAAGAAAAATTGAAAGAAACGAGAGAAAGAGGAGAGAGAAAGGAAAGAGCAAAAGAGGGAAAGAGGAGAGAAAGAGACAGGGAAGGTAAGAGAGAGGGGGAAGAGACAGAGGAGAGAAAGAAAGGTATTGAAAGAAAGAGAAAGTGAAAGAAAACAAAAGAGAAAAACAAGAGGCAGGGAGAGAGCGGGAGGGAGGGATGAGCCCTCTAACACAGGGCTCTCCAACCTCGGGCACTTTAAAACTTGTGGACTTCAGCTCCCAGAATTCCCCATGGCTGGCTGGGGAACTCTGGGAGTCGAAGTCCACGGGCACATTACTGGCGCCAGGTTTAGGGATCCTTCCGCTTGGACGGCCGTTTTACATTCGGACGTGGCCTGAGGCCCTTTCGACCCACACCCGGGATCACACCACGTTTCTCCTCCCACCCTTTGTAGGGTTTATTGGCAAGATCACCCTGCAGATCCCCTTCTACCGTCCCCACATCGACCCCTGGGTGATCTCGGTGTCAAAATTGTACCTCATCGGCTCGCCGGAAAAGGAAGAGGAGTTCGTGGAAGCGAGAGAACGATTGCTGGATAAGGAGAACAAAAAAGCGCTTCTCCTCGCTCTGGAAGAGAAATGGAAAGTGAGTCCGTTTTCTCTGAAAAGGAAAAAGAAAATCTTGGATGGTTTCTACCCTTCGGCTTTTATCAGAACCCCAAATTATTCTATTCTATATTCTATTCTATTCTACTCTATTCTATTCTATATTCTAATCTCTATTCTATTCTATTCTATTTTATTCTATTCTATATTCTAATCTCTATTCTATATTCTATTCTCCTATTCTATTTTATTCTATTCTACTATTCTATTCTATTCTACTATTCTATTGTATATTCTGTTCTAATCTGTATTCTATCCTCTATTCTGTTCTATTCTCCTGTTCTATTCTAGTTTATTCTATTCTATTCTATCCTCTGTTCTATTCTCCTATTCTATTCTCCTATTCTATTCTATATTCTATTCTAATCTGTATTATATTCTATTCTATTCCTATTCTAATCTGTATTCTAATCTATTCTATCCTCTATTCCATTCTATTCTACTCTATTCTGTTCTTTTCTATTCTCCTATTCTATTCCATTCTATCATCTATTCTGTTCTGTTCTATTCTCATATTCTATTTAATCTGTATTCTATTCCTATTCTATTCTAATCTCTATTCTAATCTATTCTATTCTATTCTATCCTATCCTCTGTTCTATTTTGTTCTGTTCTATCTATATTCTGTTCTGTTCTACTCTCCTATTCTATTCTATATTCTCTTCTCTTCTCCTATTCTATTCTATTCTATTCTATCTATCCACTATTCTGTTCTATTCTCCTATTCTGTTCTGTTTATTCTTTTGTTCTGTTCTGTTTTGTTCTATTCTTCTATTCTATATTCTATATGTTCTTTTATAGAATAGAAGAGAGAAGAGAATAAGAAGACTAGAGTAGAATAGAAAAGAAAAGAATATAGAATAGAGTAGGAGAATAGAATATATTCTGTCTATATTCTATTCCTATTGTAATTCTATTTCTATTCTGTTCCCCATTCTCTGTTCTATTTCTATTATTTATTCTATTTCTATTCTATCTCTATTCTATTCTAATTTTAAAACGGGGGTGTGAGGGTCCTGAGGCTGCTTGCTTGGCTCTTTCATTGTCTCCTCTGCCAGTTCGAATCCCGCCTTTCCTCTTTTTCTAGAAAGAACGGGAGCAGATCGGAGAGTCTTACTGGTATTCAGTCACCGCCTCCGTCGTCACCAAGATTGTGGAGAACATCGAAGTAAGTCGGACGGGCGAAGAGTTCCAGACGGGGTGGGTGGTCCTCATCTTGCGACGGTCGTGAATGGAGTCGGTGGCCAACAGTCCGGATTTTGATCCCCCGCAGCCATAAGTGTAAAAAACAGTCCCCTTTTTTTTCAGTTGTAAACTCTCTAGTTTCCCTTTTCCTTTATGTATTCAAACGGGCAGTGATTAATATATACTTGTGTGTGTGTATATATATATGTGTGTGTGTGTGTGGTATTTGTGCTGATAAATAAATAAAGGGAGACTAGTATAGATCTATTTCAAGCTATTTAGCTCTCATCAGCTAGCCATACCCTTACTGGGATTCAGCCCAGGTTTGAATCCCAATAAGGGTATGGCTTGCTGATATATATGGTATTTTCATATAAATTCTGCCCCCCTTTTCCGTGCAGTAACAAATGTCAAGGCAAGCTTAACTGGAATTTTCACAGCACTTTAATTAACAGGAAACATAAACTTCAGTGGCTGAAAGCCCAAGCATAAACAAACACATAAG